CACCGCTCCCGCCGCTTGGTTCTTCCCTGCGACGCGCGACCGGACTCTAGGTGGCCCTAGAACTTTGAAAATACTGAGACTTCTATTTTCCTCTGAAGAAAGGTGAGGGGACTTGGAGAGGAGCATAGAATATAAAGTGGACTAAAACAGAAACTGAACCGGCCGCACAAAGCAGGATAAAGAGTGGCCTTTGAACTTTACCATGTTTAATTGGATTTCTTTGCAACTAGGCAACGGGCAAAAAGACAGGGAGAGGGAAGGGGAGGGAGGGAGAGAGAGAATTTCTCTGGCTGTCTGAAAATAACAAATTAATGTGTTCTTTATAACTCACTCAATTCTTTTCTCTTTTGAATAAGAATTTTGGGAGATTGATGTAAGAAAAGGTGTTCCTTTGGAACCAGATGTTGGGAACCGAAATTAAGTTTTGGTTAATATTAGAGAAAATGTTGATGAACCAACATTTTATTAAAATTTAGCAAAGTAGAAACAAAGGATAATTAGTACAAATGAATTCAAAGGACAATACACTATTACTAGTCTTACAATTATCAATATTTGAAGCTTTCAGGAACTAAAAATATTAGATGTTGGGTTTGGTTTCGTGTTTTTTTGTTTGTTTGAGACAGGGTCTCACTGTGTAGCTCAGGTTGTCCTCAAACTCTGTAGCACAGTCTGGCTTCAAACTCATCTCCTCCTGCCTCAGACTCCAGAGTACAGGAGTTACAGGTAGATGTTTTTAATGCTATTTTTGTTAGGTATAAAACCTTATAACTTGTTTTAATTTGTTTATGTCATGGATGTAAGAATTCAAAATAGGCCAGAGATTTAGCAGCACCGAGCCTGGCTTCCAAGTGCAAGGTCCTGGTTTCAATCCCCCATACCAAAAAAAACCCAAAACAAAACAAAAAACCCTTTCAACATTAAAAAGAAAAAAGGGCTGGGGATTTAGCTCAGTGGTTCCGGCACCTGCCTCAAAAGTGCAAGGACCCAAGTTCAATCCCCAGTACCAAAAAAAAAAAAAAAAAGAATTCAAAGTGGGAAAGATGCAATCTTTAAAAGCAATTTTAAGATTCAACTAGATTTCCCCAGGCTTGGTGGTGCATTCCTGTAATCCCAGCGCTCCAGTGGCTGAGACAGGAGGATCATCAAGAGTTCAAGGACAGCTTGGGCTACAGAGTGAATTCAAGACCATCCTGGACTACATAGGGAGACCCTGTCTCAAAAAAAAAAAAGGGCCAGGGATTTGCACAGTGGTTCTGCTGCCTGCCTGGCAAGCACAAGGTCCTAAGTTTGATCCCTGGTACCTCAAAAAAAAAAAAAAAAATTCAGCTAAATATGATTAACTTTACAGATCCATGTCAAATCAAAGATTATGCTTTTGTTGAACAGTACTTTAAGTGTGCCATACTCTCCTGGTGAAGTATAAGCAAGTTTGTTAATGTAAAGAGAATACCACTCACAAATCAGGAACAAGTTAACCAGATTTTTGTTGTTTGCTGAATTTGGAACGTTTTCAGGAAGTTGAATTTTTCCAGTCCCTAAACTACACATACTTTTCTTGAGAATAATCTAAATGGTTATTGTGGCTTTATTTGCAAATTGTTCCATTGTCCTGTTTAAATCTGTTGCCTAATTAGGAAGACCTCATCCTCCTGTAACTTGACAGTTGTTTACTAAGGTGTTCATTATCATAAAGTGAACTGAATGAATAAGATGATTAAATATATGACAAAATGCCACACTAATCTCTGATTCATAGCATCTGAGTATACATCCCAGGTACTGTTTGTTTATTTATTTATTTATTTATTTATTTATTTATTCTGGTACTGGGGATCGAACTTGGGTCCTTGCACTTGTGAGGCAGGTGGCAGAACCACTGAGCTAAATCCCCCGCCCTACTGTTTATTTTTTATAGCACCTTAATTCTTTCTCTATTTGCCATTCACCACTCAAAATTACTTTCATTTTATGCTTTGATTGTGAATCTTACGTAGTTCCAGCATCATATTTAAAACATTTGTTAAATTTTTTATAAGATTTCATCCCATGTGTATTCCTAAAATTATTCTCAAATTTTATGGGTAGTTGGTTTTAAATTTGATAGTAGACAATTTGAAAAATCATATTTGACTAAGTAAAAATATGACAAGATTAAAGCTGTAGTTAAACTTTTCTAACCCAATTACTGCAGTCCACCAAGTAAGAACCCAATAGAGAGGCCAACCCAAAACCAAAGCTGGATAGGAAGTAGAGAAACCAGTTAGAAAAGATGACATGGGTGGTATAAAGTGGTTGTTGACAGACTGGGGATGTTGGATATGTTCTTCTTTCCCTTTTTTTTTGAGTGGGGGCGGTTTGAGACAGGGTCTGGTTTTGTAGTTCAAGCTGACCTTGAGCTCACTAGGTAGCCCAGGCTGGTCTCGAACTTGTGGCAATACTCCTGCCTCAGCAGTGCTGGGATTACAGGCATGTGCTACCACACCTAGCTACTTGTGTTTTTAAAGAAAAATTTCCAGTGCATCTTTTTTTTTTTTTTTCCTGGTACCAGGAATTGAACTCAGAACTTTGTGCTTGCCAAGCAGGCACAGCACCAGCTACATCCTCGAGTCCCTAGTGCATCTAAATTGTCCAATTTGGTGAATTGGAGATTTAGCTTGGTGGTAGAGTGCTTGTGTAGCAACCTCAGGTTCAATTCTCAGCCCCCAAAAAATTCTTTTGAAAATTGTCCAATTTGGGGGGGCATAAAATTGTTTATATTTCCTCTATTTTTGAACTGTCTATAGAATAGACATATATGTCTTTTTTGTTGTTTTTGTTCCTGCTATGGGTAATTTGTATCTTCTTGCCTTTATTACCAGTCTAGCTATAGATATATGAATTTTATTGTTTTTATTGACTTTTTTTGCTTTTATTGGATCTCCTTTATTGTGTTTGTTTTCTATTTCATTAATTTTTCACTCTCTCCCTGCCTCTTGGTGCTGAGAATTCAACCCAGAATCATCTGCATGCTAAACAAGTGTTCTACCACTAAGCTACACCCCTAGACCCACTCCTATTTTTTATTATTTCCTGTCTTGTATTTACTTTGGATTTAATTTTCTCTTCTTTTTCTAACTTCCTAAGGTGAAAGCTTGGGGTAATTTTTTAGACTTTTCTTCCCTTGTAACGTAAGCATGTAAGCCTATATCACAGCTTTAGCTACATCCTCTAAATTTTGATATGTTCTTTTATAATTATTCAGTCCAAAATACTGTTTTAAGGTGTCCCAGCCTATGAATATACCACATCTAATTTATCTTTCCTCCTGTTGATGAACAACAGCTTGTTTCCACATAGGAGCTATGATGAATACAGTTCCCAAGATTTTGTTGTTGTTCCTGGGAACCTTTTTGCCTTTTTCTGGACACACGAATGCCTTAGATGAGATACCTCCACCAGGGTAGGGTACTCTTCATAGCATTGCAAGGAGATGAGCCTCTACTCACTTAAATCCCCTGGTTATTACCCTAAAAGCCTCCACCATCTCCAGCCCTCCGGTGAAGACAGCAGCACTTCCGATTGACAGCTGCTGCCTTAAATAACAGCATACCTTGATGTCAGGAATGTGTTTGACCTAACATCTCAGTCTTGCTGTTAAGAAGAGAGAAATGTGGACTGTGTGCACAGCATGCTCGGAGAACAGAAGGTGGTCGGTGGGGCCGGGATTTGATGCACGAGAGGGGAGGAACTTGAGGCAGAAGTGAGCTCTGGCAAAGCCAATCCAGGGAGAGAAGCAAGGGATAGACTTGTCTTGCAAAAAGATCCCTTTCCAGTCTCTTGTAGAGAATGAATTGTAATTGTGAGAGTGGAGAGGAACCCAGAGGGTACCGCAGTGCTCCGGGGAGACATTAGGGTATTTGAAAAGGGCAGGGTGTGTGAAGATGAAGAGAGACATCAGTGTATAAGAGATGTCGTTTTGGAGTTAGAGCAGATAGGACAGGCTAATACCAGTACGAGGGTATAAAAGGAGGAATCAGAGATGACTTGTAGATTTTTAGCTTCAGCAGCTGTGGGAGGACACTGGTGTCATTTGCTGAAATGGGGAGGATTACGGAAGGAAGGAACTTGGGAGGCAGTTTGACCAAGCCATTAATTATCCACAAATAGATGTCAAAAAAGAGCATGGCTGTGAAAGTTCAAGCCCCGAGGAGAGTCATCTGTAGTAGGTGGTATTCTACTCATCTGTTTATCCATTTTGTCCTGAGGATTAAACCTAGAGCCTCGCACTTGCTAGGCGAGAGCTGCTCTATCAACCCTGTTAGGTAGTACTGTATGTTTGGGCTTGGGGTGGGGGTTGTTTTTTGTTTTTTTGGTACTGGGGATCGAACTCGGAATCTTGTGCTTTTGAGGCAGGCAGTGGAACCACTGAGCTAAATCCCTGGCCCTTAGGTAGTACTGTAAAACTGAGGGAGTGTTTGAGGTAACTGGGAAGATAGAAAAACAGAAAGATGGGAAGATAGAAAGAGTTCGGGACAGAGCAGGAGGTATTCCCTCATTTACAGGGTGGAGGAGGCAAGAAAGTAATGGAATAGTGGCCAATAAGTAGGTGTAAACTGGGAGAAGAGGTTTTCAAAATACCCCCTGAAGCCAAGAGAAAAAGCAGTTTTGAAAATATAGTTAATGGGCCGGAGATTTAGCTCAGTGGTTCTGGCGCCTGCCTCACAAATGCAAGGTCCCAAGTTTAATCCCTGGTACCAAAAAACAAAAAAATATATAGTTAATTATCTGTGATGCTATACACTGCTGAAAACCAAGTCAGATGGCATTTGTTTAAGTTACTTTGTGTATCTCTTCATGCAAAATACATTTATTCCATTGCTAGAGTTGCCAGAGTCCTAACAGTTCCAGCAGTGCTGAAAAGTCCAAGTCCAAAGTCTCCTCTGAGACTTATGGCAAACTCTTAGCTGTGAGCCCCTGTAAAAATAAAAAAATTAAACACTGACAACATAGAATGATTCCCATTCCAAAAGAGAGAAATAGAGGACTAGAAAGTAATGATACCAAAGCACGACTGAAATCCAGCAGGGCAAACATTATATCTTGTAGCTCCATGTCCAGCACAGGGACACACATGTGAGCTCCAGAGAGCTGGGGAAGCCCTCAGGCTCTTCTCCCTCTGCCTTTCCTCAGATGTTGAAGGTTGTAGGGTATGGTGCTGGGGATTGAACCCAGGTAGTGGCACACGTTAGGCACAGACTCTACCACTGAGCTATGTCACAGCTCAGAGAGTTGTTATTTTATTTTTTTAATTGTATTAGTATACATTTGCAGTATAAAATGACTACATTCATCATGGAGAATTGGTACATATGTATAACATATCTTTTTTTTTTGTACCAGGGATCGAACTCGGGACCTTGCACTTGGGAGGCAGGTGGTGGCACCACTGAGCTAAACCCCCAGCCCATATAACATATCTTAATTCTTTTTATTTCTCCTTCCCTTCTCTCCCCTCATTCTCTCCTCTCTCCATCTCTTGGTCCCCTTACCATCAGGGAGTTATTATTTTAATTTTTATTTTTGAATAATTTCATATTTATAAGAATTGCATATACAGTACAAAAAGTTTTCATGCCTTTTAAAATCTTACATGACCATGATACTTTTATCATAACTAAGACAGCAGATTACATATTTGTAATCCCAGCACTCTGGAAGGCTGAGGCAGGAGGATGACAAGTTCGAGTCCATCCTGGGCGACTCAGTGACTAGTGAGATCCTCTCTCAAGGTAAAAAAAATAAAAACCCCCCATGAGATAGTTCAGGTCACTGTGACAGGAAAGGAAGGGACAGGTTGTCAAGGAAGGTGTTTGCAAAAGCAGGATGAAAACACTGGAACAACCAGATGTAGTAGCACACACCTGTAATCCTAGCACTTGGGTGGCTGAGGCAGAAGGATTGCTGTGAGGTTGAAGCCAGCCTGGGCTACATAATGTACATAGTGAGTTCAAGACCAGCCTGGATAACACAGCAAGACCCTGTCTCAAAAAATTAAAAAACAAAACAAAAAAACTATACTGGGCTGTGGGCACTAAGTAGGTTTTGGAAGTGAAGAAAAGAGAGGGCTAGGGATTTAGCTCAGTGGCACCACTCCTGCCTCGCAAGTACAAGGTTCTGGGTTCAACCCCCAGTAGTTAAAAAAAAAAAAAAAAAAAAAAAGAGAACTGGGAGCAGTGGTGTCAGATGGAGTTGAACTGTGACAAGGTGTCCTTGAGTATAGGAGCCTGAAGGACAGGAGGTGACAGCAGGGCTTCCAGAGAGCTGAGCGTTTGAGGGTGGAAAGAGAAGAAATCATGGCAAGTGGCAACCAATAGACCTACAGTAGCCTCTGACCCTGAGTGCCTACCCTGTTGGAGGAAGTAAAACAGCTTCAAGGAAACAGCACAGTGGTAAAGCTACAAGGAGACAGATCTGGAGTGGATCTGGGCCCAGTGGAAGGGTTTGGGAAGGGGAAGGCAAGGGGTTCCATCAGAGGAAAGGCTGGACTCAGGGGTGTCAGGACAAGCACCCCATGTTCACATTGGAAGACCAAGAGGGTTCATTCTTTCAGCTGCGCCTGAGGCTGATGGGAACAGGCTGTCTGGGCTGTGAGGGAGAGCACTCAGCTGCCACAGTGCAGACTTGCAGGAGTTGGTGGAGGTTAGGCCTTGGGTGGCTGCTCTCTCCTGCAGCTGTCATGGGGCTCGGAATGGCCTCTCTGGAGCACATGTGACGTGGGGGCTGTGGGGTAACTGGCCTGGCCTTTATAACTACCAGAATGGTTGAGTCATGATCATTAATAACTGCTTATTGGGCATCTACAATTTAACCATGGAACAAAGTTAAAGGAGACAAGAGGGTGGGGAAGGGGGAAGGGAGAGTAAAAATGATCAAGATGCCGTATGTATATGTACCAATTCCCAAGATGAATGTAATTATTATGTATCTCAAACACATAATGATAATAAATAAAAGACCTGAAGACTTAAAAAACTTTTTTTTTTTTGGAATGCAGTGTCCTTTGAGCCCACTGAGAGAAGAAACAGTTGGTTGCAGAGACTAGTCTGACTTAGAAGGAAGCAGAGTGTGACAAATAGAGCCGGACTTTCACCTTTGCCTTATCAGGATCAGAGCAGGGTGAGTCTTTATGATGGGTCATTTACAGAAAAGCCCAGAGCTTCTTTCAGATTGGCAGTGTTTGTGTTTAACATCTCTGAAGCCACTAAGTATATATGCCTAATTTTGAATAAATTCCTTGCCTGGTAACCGGATGGGGCAAACGGTGATACCTGGGGGTTCTCAGATCCTGATTGAGGGCTAATGAATTGGCCACTTGCCAGTTACATGCTATGAAAACTATACACCAAGATGACTTTCCTTTCTGGAATGATCTGTGCGTCCCAACTCCTGAGAGGTCCCTGGGCAATCAGGCCATAGGATTAGAATGAACTAAATGTCGCAAACTGAATTTCACAGGTACCCCTGCTCAGGATGAGTGACTTATCAGATGTCATAGTCTGACTGAGCCATACATGGCACATCCTCCCGGGACATGAAACTGACTCAGAGTGTACCCAGCTGATAATGTTCCTGCCAGTTTGGCTGTCCCCGCCCTCTAGCACTAAGGATCAGCCTGTGTGGAGGACAGAGTGAGTAAAAGGAAGAATGACTGCAGTGAATTACACAAGGAAGTGAAAGAAGAAAGAAACCAAGAATGTGGATGGAGGTGCAGGGGAGGAAGGACATGTCATATCTTTGTTGGTTCTATTTGCCTATAAGGGGGAAATTCCAGGAGGGAAGTGTTGTGAACAGATAAAGTAATGACCACATTTCCAATTCCGTGCAGGTGGACTAGCAGCTGATGAAAATAGTGGTGACAGTGCGATGCTAGAAAGACCTGTAGAAAGTAAATCTGCAGTTAGCACCCACTTCTCTGTCACCTTACAGAACTTCCTAGAACTCACCTAGCAGCTAACAGGCACGGAGTAGTCACTCACACAATTGGAGCAATGTGAAGAGCCAAGTTTTCACCGCTTCTTTCCTTCATCAAAAATGCCAGGAAATGGGCTGGGGATTTAGCTCAGTGGTTTCACCGCCTGCTGTGCAAGTGCAAGGACCCGAGTTTGATCCTTGGTACCAAAAAAAAAAAAAAAAGAAAAAGAAAATAACCACAGGTAGCCATTCCTGCATGTTGGTGAGGATGAAATGTAGCCAAAATGGGAGAGCTGGTCAAGGCATGACCACTAAGAATTACCTAAGCGGACTGGGCTTTCAGAACCAGTCAGCAGGGAGAGGAGTTTTTTTGTGATGTGTGGTACTGGGGATTGAACCCATGGCCTTCACATTGGCTACAGCCCCAGCCCTTTGTTTATTTTGAGACAGGATCTCACTAAATTGCCTAGATATAGACTATTTTTTAGATTCTTCCTGCCCTGGAGGATTTTTAGAGCCTTATTTCACTACTGGCTGGAAATCCTCCTTAGTAATTAATTCAGCTGACCATTTATAAAGAAAGAGAAGGGAACAGACAGTGTTTGGTAAGCACTCACAATGTGCTTTCCTTCACATCTCATATAATGTTCACAGAGACCATGAGCTAGATGCCACCTGTCTCCAGTGAGTTACAGAGGGAAGCCTGGTTAAAGTTCAGTAGTCCTGAGATCCCACTGCTGGAAAATGGTGTCCAGGAGCCTTAGGCTTAGGAGAGAGGACCCTAAAGCCTGGCTTCTCTTGGCGTACCATGTAGCCTCCCCCTGTCCACCCAGTAGTTTATGTCTCGTAGTCAAAACTCAGAGAAATGCAGTGCTTATTTGTGTATCTGATACACTCTGGCACAGCTGATTCCCAAAGAAGCTTGAGGGAAGTTCTGGTCTTTAAAGGAGCCTTCATTCTTCCCCGTGGGTGTCAGTCTTTCTACTGAAATGGCTATAAAGTGGTATGTACTTGGCTTACATCAGGATGAAAGGTATAAAGCAGCCACGCCCTAGTAACCATAGGAACCTTCCCAGTTGGCTTCTCCCCCTGGGGATTGCTGGAGGGCAGAGGATCTGTCCTGGTTGCTGTCACCACCTCATTCACCATGGGATCCTGCTGACTGCTGTCTCCCCTCCATTACCCTAGCTAACAGTTTATAGAAAAACACACTGCAGTTCTGCACTTGGCCCTTCCCAGGTAACATAGGCAAAGGTGTGTTTGTGTACAGATAACTCAGAATTCAGAAGCTCTACTGATTATGCATCAAGGACCATGCCACTGTCACTCATTCCCACTCAGTTGATCGATCGATCGGTTTATTCATTCATTCATTCTGGGGATTGAATGTATGATACACAAGTGCTCTACTACTGAACTACACATCCCCAGCCCTCCTACACCTTAGAAAAAAAAATTTTTTTAAATTTTGATATAGGGTTTAACGAAGTTCCCCAGACTGGCCTGGAACTTGTGATTCCTGCCTCAGATTCCAAGCAGCTGGGAATACAGGTGTGTGCCACTACACCCAGCTCCAAAGGATTCTCAAAGGCACTTCCAGTAGAGAACTTGTGTACAGGGCTGGGGAATGTAGCTCAGTGGTGCTGCACCTGCCTGGCAAGCACAAGGGCCTGAGTGGGGGGCGGGGAGGCAGAGACAGTGAGAGAACTTGTGTACATAAAACTCTGATTATCACAAAAATTGTTTCTTTCTGCCCCCTGCTCTGGTGTCCAAATCCATTCAGAAAGGGGTTGCTGAACTCTATAACCTCCCCAAGTGTCTTTCTGGGAAACTTAATTGCTTTTCTTTCAGGGATCAAAAGATCAGTAAAGATACTGATCTTAAAAAAACAAAAAGATACTGATCTTTTCTTTTTTTTTTGATACTGATCTTTTCTTGAACAATTCTTATTTAAAAGCTTTCATGGGGGGCCGGGATTTAGCTTAGTGGCGCCACACCTGCCTCGAAAGTGCAAGGTCCTGAGTTCAATCCCTGGTATCAGAAAAATATTTAAAAATAAAAATAAATAAAAAATAAAAGGGCCGGGGATTTGGCTCAGTGGTTTTGCTGCCTGCTGCGCAAACGCAAGGACCTGAGTTCGATCCCTGGTACAAAAAAATAATAATAATTTAAAAAATAAAATAAAAAATAAAAGCTTGCATGGGGCTTGGTGTAGTGGCACACACCTCTAATCCCAACACTCGGGAGGTTGAGGCAGGAGGATTGCTGCAAGTTTGAAGCCAACCTGGGCTACATAGTAAGTTCAAGGCCAGCCTGACCTCATTGCGAGATCCTGTCCCAAAAAGAAAAAACAAACTTTCATGGCAGACCAATGAGTAAGCATTTAGCACTTAAGCATCATTATTATTATGTTTTAATTTTTCATGCAAGTCTATTCTTAGCAACTTGTAATAATTTGGGCATGAAACTACAACATTTCAGCAATTTATGACTAGCTACCATATATGCATTAACTTTTTTTTTTTTTTTGTAGGGGACTGAACCAAAGACCTTCACATCGAGCTACATCCCCAGCTACATCCCTGACCAATTTTTAATTTTTATTTTGAGACAGGGTCTTACTAAGTCACTAAATTACTCAGGCTGGGATTGAATTTGCAATCCTCCTGTGTCACTCTCCAAGCATGCTGGTATTGCAGGTATGACCATCACACCTGGCTTAGGTCTTTGTGGTAGTCAGGGTTTGCAAGGGAATGGATTTAATACAGGACACATAATTTATAGGACTATTTTATAATATTCTCCCAAAAAGTCAAATGCAGAGGAGTGCAAGAGATCTGTCCACACACTAGAGACCTGAAGAATCCAGCTGAGGGCCTGTATCCCACTGAAATGTCCTGTACAACTCTAGCCAGAGGCCCAGAGCCCACGGCAATGTCTCATCCAAATCCTATCTTGGCTCTGCACCAGGAAGGGCCAAAGGCCAGTGGTGGAAGCTAGAAAGCCTGCACCAAGGCGGGCTGATGGATCAGTGCCACCAGGGTGAGGGATCTGGACCAGAGGCAGGAAGTGATTTTCATGGCAAAGATCAGAGCTCCCCAGAACAGCAGCCGTTGCCAGCGACAGCAAGGACCCTAGCTCCTCCGATAACAACAGCTGAGTTTGCATCAGGAAAACCAGCTGTGGCAAGCTTCTCCCAGAAAAATCAAATGGTCTTCCCCTCCAATTCTCTTTTTATGCCTTTGGCAACAATTCTCAGGCGCATCTTCCACACCCAGAACGATACTGATTCAGTTCCAGGTTGACCATTAATTAGGAATCTTCATTTTATTGGAAAGAGATGGATAATTCGTTCAATGATATTTGAAAACTAAGGTTTTTTCTTACAATTCTCTCTCTCACTCTGTTTTGTTTGTTTGTTTGCTTGTTTGCTTGAGATAGGGTCTTACTATATGGCTGAACTCACTATTATGTAGTCCCGGTGCCCCTCAAACTTGAGGCAATATTCCTGCCTCAGCCTCCCAAGTGCTAGGATTACAGGCATGCACCGCCATGCCTGGCTGGAAAAATAGGTTTTTTAATTTTAAAAAATATTTTTGTTTGTTTGTGGTGCTGGGAATCAAACTCAGGGCCTTGCACATGCTAGGCAGACATTCTGCCACTGAGCTACACTTACCCCAAAATGGGTTAGTTTTGTTTTTTTTTTTTTTGGTACCAGGGATTGAACTTCGGACCTCGCACTTTCAAGGCAGGCAGCAGAAGCACTGAGCTAAATCCCCAGCCCTAGTTTTAAAATGCATTAAAGTCCTGATTCATGCACAGATATCTCATGGTTCCTCTTCTATGTGAAAGCCAAACAGGCCAGGGATTTAGCTCAGTGGTACCTGCTGCTGCCTGCCTAGAAAGCGCAGGGTTCTGAGTTTGATCCCAGGTACCAAAAAAAAAAAAGCCAAAGGCCAGGCATGGTGGCACGTGCTTGTAATTTCAGCACTTGGGAGGCTGAGTCAGGAGGATCACTACAAATTCACGGTCAGCCTGGGCTACATAAAGAGTTCAAAGTCAGTCTGAATGACATAGCAAGACCCTGTTCCAGAAAACTGAAAACAAAGAAACAAACAAAAAGTAAATTTCTTGACTAGGCTTTTCTCCCCCTGCACTTAACTGTTTTCCCAATCAGTGTTTATCAAATCAGCTGCAATGCTGGGACACTGGGTCTCTTTTTTTTTTTTTTGGTACTAGGGATCGAACTCCAGACCTTGAGCTTGTGAGGCAGGCGCCAGAACCACTGAGCTAAATCCCTGGCCCAACATTGAGTCTCTTAAGATGGCTAAGACAAAGGCCCTCTGCCCATAGCGTTCACAGGCCAGGACTCAGGCATGAAGCCACAGCTACTGGAGAAGGTGAGGAGGGCATAGGGTAGGGATCTCCAGCTGCCTAGAGAGCATAGGAATAGCAAGACAGTGGAGAGAAGAGGGAGTCCTGGGTGTGCTCAGGAATCTAGGAGGCTAACAGGAGGGAAAGGTCATTTGGATACAGCAAACAGCTTATGTCACGGTGTGAAATGGGTAAGACCCAGGAAAGTTTGGAGGGTGGAGTCAGCACAATGTAGGGGTTAGAAAAGAGAGCAATTGAGAGTGACTCCAGTTTCCTAGATTTGGTGACATGGAAAATGGTTTCATTTCGATAGCAGGGTGTGAAAGGGAGGGAGCAGGTTGGCCAATGGATTGGAAGGAGAAAACAAGCTCTTGTTTGATTCTGAGGTGCTTGTGGTTCACTGAGGAATAAATGTTTAGGACAGTGTTGGAAACATGTATCTGGAGCTAAAGAAAGTTGTAGAATGAATATATGGATAACATCAGACTCAATAATATCTCTAAGGTTGTAGTTAGAATTTTAAGTGTATATGAATTAATAATCCAGAAAGAGAAAAATAATGAAACAGGATTTCTGGAAATCCCAATGTTTATGGAAGAAGTGGAAGAACTAAAGCCATTAGAAGACATTGAGAAGAAACAACTGGAGAGACACAGTGGTGTGCACCTGTAATTCCAGCTGCTCAGGGGCTGACGCAAGAGGATTGGAGGTGTGGGTCCAGCCTGGGCAACCTAGCAAGACCCTGCCTCAAAAGGAAATATGGAAAGGGCTGGGGATGTAGCTCATTATGAAGGTCCTGGGTTCAATCCCCAAGTACTCCCAAAGAAGAAGAAAGGAGGAGAAGAGGAGGGAGCGGAAGGAAGAGAAAGCAAGTAGAAACCAAGTATCAGGAGAGAGTGGGCCATAGGAATTAGGGTGAGAGAAAAGGAAGGCAGAGTTAAAAGAAACTAATGAGCCAGAGTTCAAGCCAAGGCAAGAACTAACTTGTCCATTGTGTTTGACCACCACACAGTGATGGCAGTTTTAGCAGGAGAAGTTTCCATGGCATGTTGGGTGGCAAAAGGCAGCCAAGGTGGGGACAGACAGGAAATGGAGTAGTAGAGACAGGGTGAGCAGCCTCCCGACCTTGGAGTGAATGCTGCAGGAAGATGCCCTTCTGGTCTCCACACACGGGGAAGCACCTGGGGTGAGGGAGGGAGAGACCGGAAGGGGACATGGGCCAGTGCCTGCAAGGAGTGCTCCTGCTGATGAGTCAGACCCGGCAAGGTCATCACTGGAGAGGCAGACACAGGCTATCTGGAGGCCTTCGAGGAGGAGGGGGGCAAGGACGAAGTGTGTGGGATGAAGAGCTGTGTAGTCAGGGCCCTGGGCACACCTGGCCCTGCTCTCTGCTCGCTCTGCACCCCTCCCACACCCCTCAGTACCCACTGCCCCAACTCTTTACACAACAGTCAGGGAGATTCCCACCCCCACCCCCACCCCCCCGCATGGCGCCATGGCTCTTAGGATGCAAACCCCTGGGCGCACGGAGCCCTCACCCAAGGGGGCGGTGCTCCTGGCCCCTCCCACCCTTTGCTCCCGCCCCACCCCTGTTGGAGGGTTCTGCCTCTTGGGTTTGTCATTCTACACCCTGTAGCATGGGCCTGGTTCCCTTGAGAAACCTCCTTGACCCCACAAGCAGGGCAGAGCCTCTGAGAGTCACAAGTAGCTCTCTTCTGTTGGTCTCGCATGTAATTTCTTTCTTTCTTTTTTTTTTTTTTTTTGTACCAGGGATCGAACTCAGGTCCTTGCGCTTGCAAGGCAAGTGACGGAACCACTGAGCTAAATCCCCGGCCCTCTTTCTTTCTTTTTGAGGCAGGGTCTTGCTCTGTAGTTCAAGGTGGTCTTACTATGTAGCCTAGGCTGACCCTGAACTTGGCAGCTATCCTCCTGCCTCAGCCTCCCAAGTGCTGGGATTATAGGCATCTGCCACCACACCCAGATTCATACGTGTAATTTAGTCTTGGGGGGACTATTTGATTAATAGCCATCTTTCACACCAGACTACCAGCTCTGTGAGGCAAGATCCAGGGCTCTGTCACCTATTATATTTCTAGCATCAAGGTAGACAATAAATGTGTGATGCAGGATTAATTGATTAGATAAATGAAAATCCTCATAGGAATACAGAGGTCTACAGCTGCAAGGGAATATTATGTTAAAGGTGAGACTTTGGCCTTAAAACTCAGGGTTTACTAAACTTGCTGGAAGATAAGTTAGGTAGAACTCTTGATGACATTAGCATAGGAAAAGACTTTATGAACAAATCTTCAGTAGCACGGGAGCTAGCACAAAGAATCAACAACTGGGATCTCATCATATTAAAAAGCTTCTGCACTGCAAGAGAAACTACCAACAGAACTAAGAGACAACCTACAATGTGGGAAGAAATATTTAGCAGCTGTAGCTCAGACAGAGGTCTACTATCAAGAATATATAATGAACTGAAAAAAATCAGACCTCCCAACTTCAAAGACCCAGTTCAAAAATGGGCATTCGAAATGAACAGGCATTTCTCAGACAAAGAAGTAAAAACAGCAAGTAAATATATGAAAAAATGTTCAATATCACTGGTCATTCGAGAAATGCAGATGAAAACAACACTGAGATTCCACCTCACCCCACAAGGAATGGCTGCTATCAAGAAATCAACCAATAACAAATGCTGGCAGGGGTGTGGAGAGAAAGGAACCCTTCTCCGTTGTTGATGGGAATGTAGATTGGTGCAACCACTGGGGAAATCAGTATGGAGATACCTCAAAGAACTAGGACTACAGGTCCCATTTGACCCAGCTATTCCCCTACTGGGAATCTTCCCCAAAGAATTAAAAGAATCATA